CGTATGGGGAGTTGGTGGGTTTGGTTTGCTTTGGTTTTATGGCATTGTGGGGCACGCCGCTAGGAATTGCAATGGTTAATTCTGGCCGCTGGCTTCTCAGAGGGAACGGGAGCGCAGGAACAGTGATAAATCAGAAGATGGATACCATTCCGATGGCGACTATGGAGAGCACGACTACAGGAACGACATTAACGATGAGAAAGAAAGCAAAACCATCATGTTACGTGGTCTCCCTATCACGGTTACAGAGAACGATGTAAGTAGCCAGGAAGGGGCTTTGCTTTTCTCGCCCCCTGGGAAGTACGCAGTTTTGTGTCGGCAGGTCTCTGTGGTAGTTGCTGCTGCCCTTTTGTTGAAAGCTGCATCATGTGCTGCCATTTTGTTGAAAGCTGCATCATGGTGGCCCCCTCTCCAACGTTGGTCGCGCTGCCATTTTGAATCCTGAAAGGATTTAAACTGTCACGGTTAAGTAACAGAGGTCGGTTGAATGTTAAGCAGTTTCTTTCAAATGGAACAATCCGTGAATAGTCTTTTTTCATGTGTGTTCAGATTTTTCTACTACTTTTGCTTTAAGACTTGCTCTTTTCTGTGTAGGAGGGAAGAGGCAGATTTTTTTTTTTTTTTCCCCCTTCCTCCCTTCCCTACTCCTCCCCTCCCTCACCTGTGGGAGAGGTGAGGGGGAGAGAGACAGAGACGAGGTACTTACTTGAATTTTTCTGGGTTTTTATTGAGGCCAGAAGCCCTGATTCGTGGGGTTACATAGACACCCAGCCTCAGCCGAGTAGAGCCCTTGCATAGAGTTGCTTTGTGTGGTTACAGCTGTGGAAGTCATAAAATGGCTGCTGTGGAGCTGACAGAGCAAGTACAAATGAGCTTGGCACATGGTTATCTAACTTTTTTTGATAGAAAGATATTGAAGGTGATGAGCTTTGAGCTTTCTTTTCTTATTATTTTAATCTTTTTTTCTTTCTTGCTGAAATGCTTTGATTACCAAGCTAGAAGCCTGCAGCTGTTATTTGAGGAGTGGGTGGGAACCCTGTAAAAGCTGAGCTATTCCAGTTTGTTTTCACGCAGACTCTATGTCTGCCTCTGAGGTCTTTGTGCACTGATTGTTAACACAGAGAATCCTTTTGCACCATTAAACAGAACGCCTCGGAACAGGTTTTGTTTCTGAGCTATTAATGTTGTAACTCTACATTTATGCAAAAAACTGTAGTATAATTTATGGGAAAGTTTAATTCTGGACTCATCCTTAGAGTGTAGATGATGCATCTTGGAACTACCAGTTGTTTTCTTAAGTTAACATTAGTTTGACACTTCTGATTGTGTACATATTTTTCAGCTTTTTCCACTTCGTTCATGAAAAAAGATACTTGCACTGAAGAGTCAGTTCAGTCAGCATGTAAACGGACAGCTTTAGATCAGTTTTGAGTCTGCTGAGCAGCCGTGTTGTATGTAATGTAATTTGAGTTCTGTAAGAGCTGCTAAAAACCTCCCTTTGTCCCCTGCTGCGACATAAAAAAAATTGTTGCTTCTTTTCCTGTATGCCTCTCCGCAGTAATTCATGTAGCCTGTGCCACAAATTAAGGAGGTTTGTTATGGCTGAAGAAATGATGTCTCTTCAGCTTGTTCTTTGATGATACACTCTTCACAAGTATACTTTATCCCCTGAAAAATAGAAGGGGAACTGTTTGAAGATGAGAACTGTAGCATGAGGATTAAGAATACATATATCATGGAGCCTTGCAGGATAGTGTTCTTGTTTTTCTTTGTGAGGTGCCAGGGGTATTTAGATATGCAGGGAGAGGGATGCTAGCAGTGTTCTTTATAAAAACTTTTGAGCAAGCACAGTATTTGCCAAATCTTCCACAAATAACCGTGGAACATGAGATAGTAGTGATTTAGATTCTGTAGCATTCTGTGGTCTAAGTGAAGACTACAGTTGTTTTAGCGTCGCAAAGGACTAGGAGTTCTCTGGTGCCCATCAGTCTCCTGTTAGGTTCTTCCTAAAGGTTTTCTTTTTCCCTGAGACAGTGTTGAGAATATTATGTTCCATCTACCTCTTGGATGTGCTGTAAGGTAGGTTGCTTCTGTGACTGTTGTAGCTGTCTGCCAAGATGTGAAAATTTAACTGTCTGATTAAAATTTCACACAGATTCGGGAGCTTATTGAGTCCTTTGAAGGTCCTCAGCCTGCAGACGTGAGGCTGATGAAAAGAAAGACAGGTGAGAGCTCTTAATCCAGTTTTTGACATCACCTTCCTCTTCCCCAGCCCAAAAGAGTATCCAGAATTGTCCCCAAACTGCAAGCACATGCAATAAAAAAAAAAAAGGTTTGCCATGGCTAAGGAATGTGGCTTTTTGGAAGACTTTTAGATAGCTGGTCTGTCTTCAGGTGTTTTTGTTAACAGGTATTGGTAAGTAATACTAGTATAAACCCATTTAATAGTATGTAGTCTGTTGCATGGTTACCTTTAAACATGGATTCAAATCGAGTGAAATGTAGCCAGTTAAGGGAGCTTGGTTCCTTGCCATGGCAAAATAACGAGCAGATCCCAGCAGTTGACGTCGCATTTGTAAAGCTGCTTTGTCATGAAGTAATGAAGCAGTTGGAGAGAGATTCACCTGTTTTAAAGGAACTGACTAACACAAGTATCCCGTCTATATCTGAATGCTGTCTCTAGGTGTAAGCCGTGGTTTCGCCTTCGTGGAGTTTTATCACTTTCAAGATGCTACCAGCTGGATGGAAGCCAATCAGGTTGCTTCACTCACCAAGTCTAGATATTCCTGAAAATGGAACAAGTCTGTACAGTTTAAAAAAAAAAAAAGGGAAAAAAAAAGGTGGAAGGAGTGGTTTGTTCCATAAGTGATTTAAAAGATTAAAAGCTTTGTATATATTAAAATTTGTAACAGTAGGATAAAATATCATGTAACATTAGGGGAGAAAATTGGCTATTTTGAGCACTCGGTAGTAAAATGTGTGATTGTTTTAAATTACTTGGTTTTGATGTAATTGGCTCATGAAGGTTTAGCAAATAGTCCTTGGAAAATCCTAACTTATTTCCACCTGACATTTCTTTCTCTGTTGCCAGAGAAAGCATCAGATTTCTGCATTATGTTGCTGTTAACCCCGAAAGAGAAGTACCAGTTTATGGCAATAGTGCGTTTCCCCTAGTTAAAGGGGGAGAACTGGCTCTTCTAGAGGAAAAGCATGTTTATTCCAACTAAATTTAGTAGAGAGTGAGTTGTTGCATACCTTATGCTGTGTATTTTGGCTTTCTGGGGGTATGACTTGTTAAGGAGCCAAAATGCAATAAGATACCTAGTTTCTTTTTCCTGTTGCATGGCAAACAGTTTTACTGGCTTTTGCTCCTTTTAAAATATTCATAACCTGTTCTAACAACAGAACTTAAACATACTCTCAAAGTGAGCAAAGTGTATCAAGCATTTTTTCTTTTTTTTAACAACTATTTGATATGAAGGTTCCTGGGCAGCATGAGGAACGGTGTTCTGCTCCATTGGTGTTAGCATAAAGAAATGGCACCGTGATGGGATTCATAGGCAGTTAGTTTCAGCAGATGGACATTGTCCTCTGCCTTACGCTGAAATAGGGTTTCACGTGTCCCATACCATAAGGGATTTCCCCAGCCAGAGAGCAGCGTTCAAATTCTATTTTCCTCGCATGCTGCTCAGTTGGGTTGGTGGATGCAGCAGAAAGATTTATATCGAGAAATTAATGCTGAGCATATTTTCAGAAATGAGATAATTTTAATATATACAAAGCTGTACTGGTGCATAATTTATTGAAACCTATTCAAATTCACTCCAGTAACCAGCCACCCTAGTAGCAGGGAAAACGTAGAATCTCCCCAGCAGCCTGGCTGCTGACTGTTAGATGAAAGAATGATGTATTGCAACTATGCCAGCAGCTTTGTTTCTATGTGTGCATATCCAGTGAGTGCTGGGCCCTCCAACCCTCCCTCCTGCCGGTAGGAGAAATGGCTTTGCCCTATTTAGTTGTGCAGAATGTGAGAGCCTTATTCATGCTACGTGCTAGATCTGTGTCAGACCCTGTTATCAGAAAAGCCACCAGTCCTGGCACTTCTGTGGTACCTCTGCAGTAAGCCAACCTGCTATAAAAATAGTTCTTCCATTAAAATGCCTGGGGTTTGGCCTCTAATATGTGCTTCCTCAGACATACTTCCACCTGTTTGACTAAAATATGTTGATGGCTATATTTTGAAAGGGCATTCTGCATACCCACACTTCGCAAAGTGTAAGGCTGAGAATCAAGGCTTAAATAGATTTAAATTCCTAACTCCTCTAAAGTCAGAGTGAGAGGACATGCTGAAGCATTATGAACTTTTCCTACCCCTGGAGAAGCTTCACTTGCAGTCCAGTTACTCATTTTGGAGAGCTCCTGCCTGAATGAAGAACACAAACCTCTTGTGCAGGCTTCCAATTGAACTGATGCATTAGTCAAAGGAAACCACTCTGAGTTACGTTTCAGTTGATGGCACTTGTAATCCAGCCTCCAAGAAGTCTAAGCAGGGTCCCTTTGGGAGGAATTACTGTATTTTCAAAGGGACGCTTCTGAAGAAAGTGCTTGGAAAAGTAATCCAAATGTGGTTGTTAAAAGGTCTGGGGTGTTTGGAGTAGGGGAAGAAGTGAAGCAGTCACCTAAGGACATGTTTAAAAAGTTGCTCAGTGCTATACCAGAAGTGAATAGAAATGTGGGGGCAAAAAGACTCCTAAAAATGTGTTAATCCTGAATGCAGCAGGTTAGGACTTTGTCTCCTTCGAGACACTTCCTGGTTCCATGTCAGCGTTTAGTGTTTGGCAGCTTTTTCAACACTCCCTGATTCCGTTTATCTTTGCTCCACATCCCATTCTCTTACTGCCCTCGTCCTCCTCTCTGCAGGATTGGATGGGCAGGGTGTAGGTGGCGGTGGTTGTCTTCCACATCCTCCCCATATGTTGTCCATTTAATTCAGGAGCACTGATTCCTCCGAAGGGTGCTCTGCCATGGGAAAATGGACATGTGTGCCTCGACACAGGAATAATTGAAACCACTTTTTTTGCAGAAAAAGCTGGTGATTCAAGGGAAGCAGATTGCGATGCACTACAGCAACCCCAGGCCTAAATTTGAGGACTGGCTTTGCAACAAGGTACAGTGCACGTTGTTATCGGAGGGAGTTTGTCTTGGCTTCAGAGCTTTTCACCAGCTCAGTGGTTTGAACACAGCGATATGTTATTCGGACCTGCTTGTACTCATGGTCCCTGTGATACCGTAGGAGTGCTAAGACAGGAATAAAAAGGTTTTGTAGCGCTGGTGAGAAAGTAGGAAGAGTGACGGAGGTGCTGCCCCAGGAGACATAGAGATGGGCGCTGAGCTGCACTAGAGTATGACATCATTAGGTGATGACCAATCTAACGTTGAATTGCGACTGGTCTGCTGCATACTGCTATGCGCTCCTTGTTTGAGCCCCTCTAAGTGGAGGTGATTTGGTAAGATGAAGACCAGGCTGTTTGATCAGGCTTTAGCTATACTTTTTGCCCATAAAGATAACTTGTTTTCCAGCCTGTGTTTCATTTTACCATTGTTCTTTTTATAGTAGTTGCTATGACTGGGATTGTAAGTTGAAGACCACACAGTTTAAAATAACTAAATAATTGAGGATGACTGGGGAAAAGGTAGCTGGGATGTTCTGAAAAGCAGTTGTGGTATGGACAAGGGTGGCTTTTGCTGTTCTCAGTTATTCTGGTGGGATTAGCTTCGTTATGTTACTATGTGTGAATGTCTAGTTTTCATTATGCTGGCATTGTTACACATTGCACAAGTTCTTACCAGGTTTCTCTTCTTCCTCATAGTGCTGCCTTTACAATTTCAGAAGGAGGCTAAAATGCTTCCGCTGTGGAGCGGACAAATTCGGTATGTTACGTTGATATTTTTGTCTGTGTTTGATTTTTTGTGGGAAACTTTCTGTCGTACATAGGAAACAAAGTTCACTGTAGGTGCTGGGCTGGCTTTTGAAATGCTATGTTTGAATGAATGAGCCATATTGTGA